TCAAGCAAAATAGAGAAATTGATTAATGTAACTTTTGGGCTTTAATGTATGTTTAAGGATTTCATGGGCCGGTCCTAAAACAATTAATGTATGTTTAAGGATTTCATGGGCCGGTCCTAAAACAATAATGAGAAGTTTCATTTTACAAAAAATATCATATTTTTGAAATCTTTACAAAAAAATAATACTTTTTCAAAATTATTTTTTCTTTATATTATTTATATTTGGATTAATTATGTTCTATTAGGATTTAGTTTTGAGTGTTTAGAGGGTTTTAGGTGTCAAAATAAATTTAGGGTTTAGAATTCTAAGATATAGGCTTTATAAATCTATAATTAGTGACATTTTTGTAAATGGATACCCCTAAGTGACATTCTTGCAAATGTACACACAAAAGTGGCATTTTTGTAATTGTCCCAACAATAATTGATATTACTATTTTTTTTGGTTAATTAGCTGTATATTATTTTTGAGATTTATAATTAGAAAATTAATATACCCAAAAATATAATTAGGTAACTAGCAAAAAAAAATAAATTATGACAAAATTGCCCTTATAACTATAATTAAGATAAATATACATAAAAAAACCTTAAATATATTCTCTTGATTTAATCCCTAGAAAATTGCTTATGCAATTGTATCGTTACCAAAAGTAGATGTGTGTTTTCACAACTGCCATAGGAAAAAAAATTGGATCAGAAGATATAAAAAATAAATATGTCATAACAGTTAACTATTTAATAACATAGTTAACTATTTTTGAAACATCTCAGAACATAGTTAACTGTCTAAAATATAGTTAACTATTTTTTGAAAATAGTTACCAATTTGGAAATATAGTTAATTATTTTCATAGCATATTTAACTGCACTACTGATTTCAAGACATAGTTGACTACAGGAAAAAATGTTGTTGTAATAGTTAGTTATTTAAACAAACATAGTTAACTAGTTCAAAATGTAGTTATTAACATACATAGTTGACTATTATCAGAAACATAGTTGCCTATTATAATGAAAAATAACATACACAGTAAACTATTATGAGAAACATAATTACCTTTTGTATCTAGTTCACTATGTCGATCTTTGACGACAATTCAATTTGACCAGGAGATGAATGACGGTGGAGAAATACACCATCTTAATCCACTACAAAAGATTTTGAGAATATGCCTATTACTTTTCTTTTTATATATATATCAGTTTGATCATGAAACAATAAATAGATCTTTGTATATATCCCTATATATATTATATTCGTTTTGACTTGTATATATGTATCTATTTTAGCTGATTTTCATTTATATATGCATTTAAACTAATATTGACCAAACTGTTTTTTTTTTCATCTTGAAAGTAAATTCAAAGTTGAGAAAGACAAAAAGCTTTGTAATTAAACTCAAACAATTTTTTTGTTGGTTTCCATTCCTCTTCATAGTTTAAAGAAATAAATAGAAAAAAAAAAGAGATTTTAAAAAGAGAGAAAACAATAAATATATTAACAAATATGGCGTTTTATTG